CCCCCCCCCTCTCTACCTTCCCCACGTTAGCCTTCTCTCTCCCTCTCGGATGTCCACTTTTCGGAAGGATTCTCATGCGGAAGTCCTCGTACCTCTTTTATGATTTTCGTCGGTCGCTTCTGGACCCTCTCGAGCACCGTTAGATGGCTCTTCTCGGCAGCCCTCCACGAATAAACACGATGCTCCGAATGGGGTGAAACCGGTTCTGCACGATTTAAACGGAAGAAATGAGGCTCGATCTTCCATCTGCAACGGCATACCGTATCGCACTCGAGATCCTACGACATGACGATTTTTCTTACCGTCGCCTGCGGGTGCGAGGGGAACATTTCAACTCGAGTTGAAATGTCGAGTTGAAACACGTGTCTCTTCTCCGTTGCTTTCGCCCTGGGTCGGTCCGGCGTGCTTGCGACTCCCGCAAACGCCGTCGCTTTCCTCGACGTCGAAATCCCCTCCGTGTCGGAGGGTTCAAGATCCGTGCAGAGATTCGACGGAACGTTCCCGAACCCTCGTTTAAATCTGGCTCTGTTCTTCCACCGTCCGTCCAGTCTTCTTTCCCGATTCGAACCGGAAAAGCATTTCGTTCGGTTCACTCGAACTCGCTTTCCAATAGTCACACGAATCCTTCGTCGGCTCGTGGCGGTGTTTCGACCGTTTGGCGTCCCACGCGACCGTGCAACGATCCGAATCCCCCGTTTCATCGAGGGCTTTAACAAGAGGCGCCGGATCGTCATCTGCAGAGGAAACTAAATGTCGTGTTGCGGGATTTTTCGTCGGTTCGCGAAGGAGCTGCACTCGGAGAACATCCCGGATCGCGTCCCTCTCTCGCGCCCTGCTCCCTCCGACCGATACGTGTCGAGGATCTTAAAATCTTCCAAGAGCAATATTTTCTTGGACTTCTCGCCGATGCCACGAACGAACGAACGAAATGCAATTTCATCTTCTCGGGGCGTATTCGGCGGCCCGTGGCAGAGTCTCCCCGTCGCCCAACTGATCTACCAAGAAACGGTCAATCGTTCCTCAATTAGCGGTAGCGAGATCCGCTCTCATCCGGGCACCGAGTTCGTTTCTTGCCGATGAACTGACCCACTCATCCCCACTCCTTCTTCCGAGTCGAATTTGGAATTCCTCATCTCGACTTGATGAGAGTTTCTCCATGTATGAGGAATTCCGACGACGCGATAACGGATTTCCAGCACCCTTCCCCCGCATCGAATCCATTTCGCCACGCAAACTACGCGCGTTCGTGTGGAAAGACCTCAACCGATTACATACCTCGCCTTCATACCTGTTGATGGAGGCATGGAACCATCCGTAGTGGCCGTCACTTGCTCGTAAGTCATTGTCCCGGATCCCCAAACCAAAAAAAGAATACTTTCGCTATCGTTACCTTGACCGTTGCAGCTCCCTCCTGAGAGAAATGAATGTCGATCACTAAGTTAGCCATCGTTGGCGCACATCGCCTCATGACCTCCCTGCATGGTTTCAAAACCTCCCACCCCCTTTGGATCCGCCACTGGGCTGGGCCGAGAGCCTCTCGGCGAGAGGAGACGAAGAATATCTCTATCATTACTCCTAATTGGTGACTCCAACGAGAATCGTCCTAGGCAGCCTTTGGGAAGGTCTCGGGCGTACGAGTGTTGGCTCCTTTCGCTCAGTTCCCTAGAGCGAGAATCGGTGTACCAGGAGGAGGGGCAACGGTGTTCTCGTGGTCAGCCCGGACTTATTACGGCTTAGATCGATCCCTATTCGATCATAAAAACAGACGTTGACGATGAAATTATGAAATTAAGATCAAACGAATGGGCGAACATTTTTCGGAAGGAAGATGGGAATTCTCCACCTGACATCCCTTTTCGCAGCCATGATGGAGAAACGTGCAGGCGGACCACGTGAATCACTCGCTTCCAGATGGACCCGCCGAGTTCATGTTTACGTTTATTGCCTTCTCTGTCGCTGATGGAGACCTCAAGAAGTGTTGTCTTCAGACGAGTCCGTTAGACTTTGACCCGAGAATTCCGTGGGTCGTGGCGGTAACGTTAAAACTGACATTTACAGACCTTTGACCTGACATGGACCCAAGAGTTAAGGGATTCTTTAGCAAGGTACATCTAGGCCTGTGCTGAGGCTGCTATAGGCCTAACGGTTTTGACAGCATCAATGGGCCACAAGCGAGCTGGCTTTGAATCCCATTGTTACTTGACGTATTTTCCTCTTTTCACCATGAAAGATTGAGTGAAGTAGGCCTGCAACAGGCACCTTGCTTGTCCCCGTGCTTATCACGCGCTTAACTATGCCCTGAGTTAAGCAGGAACGTTTGCCTGAAAAATGCAGCACAGTACTGTGCACTGCATTAATTCCCATCACTTTTTCTCATAGATGTTATTTTACTGTGTTATGCAGTTGGTACAAATTTACTTCTAATGAATGGTGAGGCTACCATCAATGTACTGAGAGGTAAATATGCTCAAGCGATTGAAGTTGTTGGAATATCATGCATTTGTATTGTGAACCATGTGCCAATATCTGCCATGCAATGAATGAAGTGCACTATAATCACATTCATAAATCATCCTTGGCTTGCTATAGTGACTTGCAATTGAATTCATGCCAATATTAGCATGCATTCCTTAGGCCTTTTATTTCTATCATGGAAGATATACCCACATCTCTAGGAGTATGGCATTGAAATAAGAGTGTGTTTTGTAAAATATGGTAATAGTTTCAGGAAATCTATTATGACTTTGTCACATGCTAGATCCAATGAGGAAGTGACTGTCATAATGTTACACCTGCTCAATAGTCATGCACTTATTGTAGGGATAGGCTCCAATTTCCTGATATTATCTACAGAGCCTATTCAGTTCCTTTTCTAGGTATTTCCCTGATGTGAAGCCCGAATTGGAGGTATCAATGACGTGGGTGAGACTCTGCAGACCTGTGAGATCCCTGCAGAGATGCAGTTCAAGTTCTGCTGCAGATGGGAGTCAGCCGGTGTTGAACCCAATGAACATCCAGCTACTGTCAAAGCCCCTTTCCGAGAAGATTTTTGGCCCAGCTGCTGATGCAGAGGAAGATGCAGAAGCTGTGAAACGGTGTCAGAAGGAGCTGAAGCAGCATGGTCTGTGGGAGGTTGCTCCTTCCCTCGCTCCTGAGATCGCCTTCCCCTTGCCCAGACTCCGAGGCAAAGACATTGCAGAGCACTTTGAGTCAATTGCAGGCGAACAAGTCCAACCATATCGGCGCCTCTTGAGTAGGATTCTTGAAGGAAATGTTCCAGCAGTTCCTTCTCACTGGGTTTTTCAGGTAAACATCATCCACCTTTCTTTCCACTGTATGTAGTTATAATCATCACCTAGCATTGCTGATTGTATTTTCTCAGTGTTCTTGGTATGACTTTTTTTTCATGTGATTCCCCAATGCCACACCTATCCCATGATTGAATCTTCTATATTATATGAGACCCATTGGAGATGTACTTGTAATCCTCTCTGTGCTATTGATGGTCTACATCTGCTTAGGGTATTTTCCTGGTGCATGCTGATGACAGATGAAACCTACTTCACACTCTTGACATGATTTAGCACCAGCGGAACTAGCTCAAGTTATTTAAAATATGTCCTGTTGACTGACTTTATTTGCAAATCTAGAACGATATTTTTTTTTTGGTCACCTCGAGACAAACCTATATCCTAACATCTGGGATGCAGTTAGTTGATCTTAGGTCTCTGTAGTGTGATGATCACAAGTAAACAAAAGTAAGGTGAAGGTAATGCTTTGGAAGTGTTTTTTGATCCCTGTTGTTCTGAAGAATATAGGGATGTTGATCAATCCTCTTCAGTAAAGATGATGAGTCAGGGATTGGTTTTTGGTGATTATGACTTGCTACTTGTGTTTTTGTTTTAAAAAATTAGAGGAATTCTTATTTTGGCTTATGAAGTATCAGAGGAGACTGCATAAATTCTCAAAATGTGAATATAGTACGACTATGAACTTTTTTTTGCATATGTTTGGATGTAAATAAATGCATCTGACATACACATTGGTAGTCATGAGACATCCAACTGCACTCCAACTTATCCCTCTTGTCTCAGACAAGGAAAATGTTTCACAGGTACTCTGAGATTGCCATGCAGACTGGTATGCATTTAGTATAGTACCATCCATGGAATTCTTTATGATAGAAGTATTTCTACAAATTCACTATGTAGAAACCATTTGTGGATGAGTTTCTGAATGAGTTTTACCCTATGCATAGGAAGGATGGACCAAGTATCACTCAGACGGAGTGGTGGAGCGACTGAAATTCCCAGATGACCCAGTGCTGTCATTTGATGTGGAAGTGTGCATGAAAGATGGAAAGGTTCCCACTCTTGCCACTGCTGTGTCACCTCATGCATGGTATTTTAAAAATATTTTCTTTACCTCATGTGCCCCATTGTCCTTGGTAATATAATAGATTGATTGTGCAGAATAGACATACTTCTTCATACAATTTGGGTCTCACAGACTAGGTATCTCCCAGACTGTGGTATATTAGTATGCATCAGGATGAGGTCTAATTCACAAGGAAAATTTTGCACCTTTCCTTCATATCACAGATCTTTGGGAGTTAATGGTAGTTGTATGTAGAAGTGAGAATGTTCTTTGAGGATCTTCTTGAAATTCTTTCCTTGCAACAATAGACAGGAAAAATCTGAAAACCACAGAAATTCTCCATACATTTTCATGTGAATCCTTTTGAAGCAGATTCTCTATTTGTCTCATGTCTGTGTTTGACAGTTGCTTTATAAATGGTCTAGACCAGAAAGGAACATTTATGTAAATGCCAATATTAACAGTTGTTATAGAAAAAATCTGTAAATTACTTTGTTCCTTATGAGGAAATGGCAAAACTTTATTTTTATTTCAATGTCAAAGTATGCTATAGCTTATTCATCTTATACATGAATCTGGATACATATGTAGGTACAGCTGGTGTAGCAGTCGGTTGATTTCCCCCCATGTGAGAGTTGGGGACGAAGAATACATTCACCCACATCTTCTCATTTCAATGCAGGAATCTCAAGAGCCATCTCTTATAATTGGTCACAATGTCAGCTTCGACCGGGCATACATCTCAACTGAGTATTCCTTAAGGGTAAGGGAATACTTATTTCTCTTACTCTTTTCTTGATATGCATGGCATCCATTCCAAAATGGGCATCTGAATTGTCAGCATTTTCGATGGAAAACGGCATTTATACTATGTATGGAAAAGCTCATGCTTTAATTTTTTTCAACATTCTTGTATGAAATTTTAAGGTCAATGAAGGCTTTTGCCAGTGCTGGTCATAGACATTGAGTTCATTGTAAACCATAATTTTGTTACTCTTAGGATTGTTTTAGATTGCATGCAAAATCATGATCTCCACTTGAATAAATTTAGTAAAAGCTGACATCTACAGTCTTCTACCTCATTATGAGATCCTTATGGATTCTTTTGTCTTTTATGTTAAGACTCAGCTTTCATATAATGAATTTACTTGCATTTTCAGTTTTGTTGAATATGAAGTGGCCTATTGCCTCTAGAGTAAAATTTGTAATTCATTCATTCATTTGGCAGTTTTCTTATTTCCAGCGTGGTGGGTGTCGCTTCCTGGACACGATGTCTCTTCACATAGCCATATGTGGACTGACAGGTTACCAGCAGGCTCTCTTTGCAGCTTCCAAGGGAACATCTTCCAAATCCAGGGGGAAGAAGGAAGAGAATGCTGCACAAAAGCACTTTCGGGGTCCACCCTCTAATCTTTGGATGGATGTTGCATCCATGAATAATCTCAAAGATGCCTATCAAGTGAGTAGAAAGCAAATAAGTTGGTCCTTGAAAGCAATCCTGTGATCATATTGAAATAAATAATTTGGGTGCATGAAAGTTTTTTTTTTTTTTTTCATTTTTGCTGCTTTACCTCCTTGGATGATTCATATGCAATTTTCTTCAGCATTTTGAAAGTTAGAATGGCAGATGGTTGAAGAGTTTATATTCAAAAAGGCAAAATGTATGGGTACTTGCAATATTTTGTCACTTATTGGAAAGTTGATCTATTGACAATGCATGGTATCGGTGAAGACATTTCCTCTGATAGAGGCTTTGCATACATCCTGTTTTATTTATTGAAAATGTTTCATTTTTAATTTAGCTACATGTAGGAGGAGCTGCACTAGAGAAGGAGTCTCGAGATGTGTTCGTCAAAGGCACATTGGATGATGTCAGGAAGGAGTTTCAGGGATTGATGTCATATTGTGCCCAGGATGCCAGGGCATCTCTTCTCCTCCTACGTGCTCTCTGGCCAGAGTTTCTTGAAAGGTAATAGTTCCTACCACATTTTCTATTTGTGCATTTTTTCTAATTAGTGTGTTCTGACTTCAATTCCTCCCATTGTATATTCCTGCATACCTTTTCTATTTTTGAAATCAATGAATGAGAAGCAGATTTCATGTTTGCTATCCCTGCAAAGTCATTGCTCCATGCTGACTCATCAGACTTGTTCTGCCTGAGTTGAGCAGGTAATTAGTGAGGCTGTAGAAATTGAGGCTGGTAATGATGGCATCTATGGTTGTATCGGACTCTCAGCCAAAGTCCACTTTCTAGAAGAACTTGATTCCACTGAAATCATAAATTATTCTTAGAATAATCTGGAATAGATAAATTACTGGTAGAGGATGCAATCATAACGGTCCTTCTAATCTGGTATGGTTATTCCTGGAAGTACTAAGTTTTCCCTTGCATGAGAAACATGGGAGTGAGGTGGAGGCTCAATGTTGTGACATCTCTGCTCCTTCATTACACTTTCCCAGCTTACTAATGAAGGTCTGAATGTCTTAGGAAACTAGGAATTTAGTTCCTTTCAACATATATCCATACTTACATTTGCAAAATTGCTCTTTCCACCCTAATGGGGTTGTGCTTGAGCAGGTTCAGGAGCATCTTCCTGTGTTTGTGATCCTGAGCAACAGATTCAAATTCAGTATGTGGTTTACAGAGATTCTCATGAGAAAGAGTTATTATGTAGTCTGTCCACCTTTGTTTCATCATCATCATCATTCATTTTAATGTATGTGCTTAATCCCATTCTATCCTATGGAGTTCTAGATATGCATAGGTGTCAATTGCCTGTTTTGACTGACCTAGATTTGCAAGGCTTAAGAAGGGTGATCCAATGGGGTCTTTAGTGAATAGTATCAAAGTTCATTCATCTCTTGAATGAAAGATATTCTGAGGGGAGGGGGCCAGACAAATATGACACAGATTGCATGAAGCTCTTTCTTGTATTGACCAATGCCATGATGGTGTATACAGGTTCCCCAGCACTGTGACCCTAGCTGGGATGTTGGAGATGGGGTCAATGTACCTACCTATCAATCGAAACTGGAATCGATACCTCGAGGCAGCAGAGGAGACTTATTCAGACATGCAGACAGAGCTGAAACGTCTTCTTGGAAGGCAGGCTCAGGATGCTTGTTCTCTCCTCCATGATGAAAGGTAAATCTTTATTTTTCCCATGTTATACATGAGCAAAATGGATGTTATTGCTGATTCATTTGTGAAGTTTCCCATCTCTCAACTTCAAGCATGTGGGTTCTTGAAACTGTAAGGTGCTTTATTGCTAGATGAAACAAGAAGAGATAAGTGGAAAAAATGCTGGTGCAAAGGAATTCATAGTTACAACTGTCCTGCCATTGTTCATGATGCCTCATCATGTACTTGTTTGGTTTTCTTTGAAGTTACAAAGAAGATGTGTGGCTTTGGAACCTTGATTGGACCATCCAAGATCTGAAAGTGAAAAAGACTATATCCAAGAGGAAACCCTCAGAAAAGATTGAGGAATTGAGGGAGAAGAGGAACCCTCTGTCAAATCTCCTGAAAGAGAGCAGCTGTTCAGAGGTGCAGGCAGAAGAGGAACTTGCAAAGAAGTCTATGGTTGCCTCCCACTTCCCTCACTTACTTGCTTCTCGTGACTCCTTGCACAAGCGGAGACCCTTTCTGCCTGGATACCCAGCATGGTATCGCAACCTCTGCTCCAAGGTACTCTCCCTTATTCTTATCTGTTGAACTTAAGCTAATTGATTTTTGGGGCATAAACGGTTGGTGCTCAATGTTCTTATTTTGCAGTTCAACTTGGAGTCTTACTAATGGGATGTCAAAGTTTAAGTGACCTTTTCATTAGATTCCATGATACTGAGTTTCATTATATCTTCTGTTAGGATGGAAGTCTGTTTCATTCTTCATGGTCCCAAATTATGAGGTCAATTTGAAGTCCACTCTACCAAAGGCATTCTCTCCTGGTGGGTACTTGTACAAGGAACTTATCTTTTTAGGACTGGAAGAGATCTGTCGCTGTTTAGTGGAAACCTGCTCTGCCAATGGAAAAATTCAGTGAAATCCTGATGTAATGTAATTGGAAATAATAAAATTCCTCATTGAGTGAACTGATTTTGTATACTTGACTACATGTCCATTATGAAAAAATCCTGCTTTACCATGTGATGCTGTAGCTGCCTTCCAATCCTGACCAATGTTCTATAAGAATGGAGTGACAATGGTGAACTAAGGTATAACATTAAGGGGCCTGTGATTTCCTCACATCAATGAGTTCCATTATCTAGGAGTTAGGATCTGGCAGAATCAATTTCAGTAGCTCTGTTTTCAAATGCCCAAATCAGAAAGTCTTATGAAGTGTCAGAATTGGCCATGTACCTGTAGGGAGGTTAGAGTCTGATGAGAACTATCATGTCTCACCTGTATTACCATGTTCCTGTGAGATGTGGATGATTTGAATTTCAGTTGATCAGCTCTGTGCACAAGTGTAGTGCAAGTATAGTCATGTTGGAATAAGCCATTTGATCTTTTGTGTTGTGTCCATACAGGAGAATGGTAATGGCCTGGAGCCAGATCTCCTGAGCACAAGCATGCAGCTTGTTCCTCGCCTTCTTCGCCTCACTTGGGATGGCCACCCACTCCACTTTGACCCAGAACATGGATGGGGTTACCTTGTCCCCTCCTGTGTCAGCTCATCACATGATTCTCCAAGCACAGACCCCATGTTCCCCTATCAGTAAGGCAGATCTTTACTTGAGATGTCAATCTGTTCAGAATTATTCATTGTGTATTAACTTCTAAAAGGTAGATTTAAATGCCATAAGTGAATTCTGCCTGGTGGGTTTTCTTGGTGTCCCTTTAAATACATTGCCATGATAACAGCCATCAGTACTTTCCAAATGAAAGGAAAGCTATAGGTATATGGGTGTTCAAAATAAATAGGTATGTCCTCCATCATTCTTGGGATTGTTTAGATCCCAATCACAATTTAAATGTTAAAAATTGAACTATTGATATTCTTACTGATTATGAATATGCTAAACTTAGCTGTTTTTCACTGATTTGCTGGTTGCACTTCCAATTTATTTGCAACTGTTTAAAAACTATTGATTATTCTAATCTATTTTCATTCATAATCTCTTGCTCATATCATTATGAAGGCAGATAACAGTCATATCACATTTTCAACACCATCCTTCTCGACTCAATAGAGTCATGGTTACAGCTGACTTAGGATTGACCTCCAATGTTTCCAATCCTAGGCAGCTTATCATGTGAGATTCCAAGCCTTTTGTGACAAAGCTTCACATCATAGCCATCCCATACCTTGTACAATGTTTATCAATAGGTCTTTTGCTGATCACAGACCAATCACAGACCACAGACCTCTTTCACTGACATCTTGGAATGATAGAGAGCATGGACAAAGGAATATAGGGGAATGGGAGTTTCTGGTGATACCATTTTGTTGTCATCAAGTCAGTGTCATGGCTTCTTGTTTTTTTTTGCATAATTTCAGACAAGGAAATATGCTGTAAAATGCTGTTACATGGGAAGGTAAATGTGCACAAAGACTGATCCTTACACATTGTGGCTGGGTGATGACCTGGTGGATGGCATGATGTTTTAGCCTAAATTACAATAACATTATATTGCCAAATATCAAAATTTTCAATTATCTTTGTGGCTGGTAAGTAATGAGTGCAAATATTCTTTGAAATCCTTCAAATTCTTTAAAGCAGGATTTGTCTAAACAGTCACCGTGAAGCCTGTATCTTTTGAAAACATCATTTTACTGTCCAAGTTAATGTCTGTAGACTACTCCCTTTATTTAACAGGTGTTAACCTATAAGTGAGGTATCTCTTTGTATTCCAAGTGATAATGCCTTGCTTATTAGTCCTGCAAAATTCATAGCCTATGCAGATGCATATATCCAGAACACACCTGATAGGGTAGGGTTCTCATAGCTGACCTAAGCCCATATCCCAAAGACATTGGCCAATTTTGGCCCCATACCAAAATGTAAAAAGCTGAATTAAATTTGAGTGGTATATATGATATCACATTCTCTTTATGCTCCAAAACTCCTATTGCTTGAGCTAACTTATTCTTTTCAGACTTATGTCTAGCCTTTGGGACACAGTTGCAAAGCAGCATTTGTCATCATTTCTGCAGGCTTGCTACTTGCAAAGACTGAGAATAGACTTTGCAACTGTGGGTACTTTCTCAGACATGGATAGACCTCAAAAGATGCCATTTCTAAGCAGTGTCATTGTCATACTTACCAAAACCACCTTTTAAAATTATTAACCTGTTGATCAAAAATGAATTTCTGAGTTTATTGACTTTTTTCAAACAGTATCTGTTTCCTGGACAGGATATCATTAAAACATAATGATTTATGTGAATTTCACCTTATTTGAAACCAGCGTTTATGAGGAATATTTTTAGTTTTGTTAAATCCGAAGAGCATGAAATCCTCCTTTTATAGGCTTGGAAAGGAAAATTCCATGGTCTTCAAATAAGGAAAATTTGAATTTTTCTGCTGACGTGGTTTGTTTGAATATGGAAGTGCTCAGCTTATGAAGTTAATGATCTTTTTTTTTTAGTGTAGACCAATTAATTTTCCATTAGAAATTCTTCCACACATCTTGACTTCCGGGAAGTTATCCAGACAGCTGGATAAGGGCCTCATGGGTTCCCCCAAATCTGAAATTCCATTTGGAATTCTCCTAACCTCAAACATTTACCTGTTGCTTGTGTAGGCAGTTGCATGTACCAGAGGCTCATGAAGAACAGAAGTCTGGTGAAGAAGGGATAGAGATGATATGGGAGAAACTCCTCAAGGGGGATGTTGGGGAGGACCCTGCAGATATGGAGAGACTCTGGGCCGGTGTTCGTCTCCTCAACCAGTACGTTTAAATGTCATATCTATCTTAAAACTTATTTAGCACCTGCTCTGTTTTAGTGAAGATTCTGGTCAGTAGGATATTTACTGTGCTTTTTCCACTGAGGAAAGCTTTGGTTCTATAATTATAGAGGANTACCTGTTGCTTGTGTAGGCAGTTGCATGTACCAGAGGCTCATGAAGAACAGAAGTCTGGTGAAGAAGGGATAGAGATGATATGGGAGAAACTCCTCAAGGGGGATGTTGGGGAGGACCCTGCAGATATGGAGAGACTCTGGGCCGGTGTTCGTCTCCTCAACCAGTACGTTTAAATGTCATATCTATCTTAAAACTTATTTAGCACCTGCTCTGTTTTAGTGAAGATTCTGGTCAGTAGGATATTTACTGTGCTTTTTCCACTGAGGAAAGCTTTGGTTCTATAATTATAGAGGAGTCATATATGCATTTAAATTAGAGAGCTATTAATTTCTGTGTGGGTTGAGGATGTCCTAAGTACATCTTGGCATTGATGGGTAGCTGGAATTCTCTCGCAGTTGTCTACTAAAGAAGTCTCTGATCATGATCCAGTATTGCCTGCTGAAAGAAAGAATTTCCCTGTGGATGATCATATCTAATGCTAAATATTTGATGTTTTTTGTAAAAATGATTAAGTTATCAATTTTCTGATGCTTGTAGACTCGGTGAATCAAAGGAAACCCATCCATGGAACTTAATTTTCATGCTACAAAAATTTGCAGAAAGCCTTAGGCATGCCAGTTAGTGTTGAAGACGTTTTAGCACTGTCCAATTCCAATAATATTATATTGGAATTTTTTATACTTCTTGAATAGTGGTCAAATTTCTGGGAAAGTGGAATGTGGGATTAGTTTTATTGTTTCACTCATGTTGGGAGTCCTGACCCCAGCTGCTGTTCAGAGTTGGGATATGAATGAAGACCTAAACCATGAAAATTGAACCCAGAAGAAATATTCATGGACAGTCCACTGTGAAAGTCATCTATCCCAAACTGGAGCTCCAAAGGGCTATGCAAAGTGGTTTCCTGGAGACTAATGCCATTGATTGATTTTATTTTTGTCACTGGTGCACCCATGGGCTCATTTTCTTGATAACTTCAAATAATATTTGTCATTTTTCAGAAAGTTGGCTGAGAAGCATGAAAAAAGGAAGAAGGGGAGAAAAGGAAAAGTAGAGGAACACCAGGAAGAAAATAAAAAGAAAGAAAGTGGGATCGACATAGGGCTGCCTGGCTGCCTCTTTCGTCCTCTTCCACACAAGGTCAGAGATATATATGATGAAGAGATATCTCAATTAAGGAAGAGTCTCAAAATCTTCTGAGCCTACACTCATAGAATATGCTCACAACAGGATGGGCCAGGGAAGCGGGTGGGCAACCCATTGTCCAAGGACTTTCAGAGCAAGTGGGAAGATGGAACCCTTTCAACTGCAGCAGGAAAATCAGCTGAGCAAGCCCTCAGGCATGAGTCTTTCTTTTCTTTTGAAGCTTACATGGGAATACCATGAGATACCATGAATCTGTTTTGGCTTATTGAAACATAGTTACTTTTGATTGCATTTGCTTTGAATTATCTCATCCTTCCATTTATCTTCTCTCAAACATTGTGGCAATCTATAATCCTCTCTTTCCAAAACTTTTTATGCTTCGAGTTATATAAGTTTTGCAGAGAGCTTGAAATGCATTTCATTTCTCTGATATGGATTTGGTGGTGTATATGATGGATGCAACTGAATCCATCCTGTTGTGCTAGATATTAAAAAGCTGCAATGAAATCCAACAGACTAAGTGATAAAGCTATTTATCCAGGGGTGGTTTTCTTGAATAAGTTTCTGCTTATGAGCTGTTTTTGAGGTCAGCAGTGAATGGTCAATAATGTGCAAATGTGCAACTGATCTCTGGAACACTTGAGTGCATGTATCATATTGTGACCTGCACCTTGGATGCAGGACAAGTCACATGCTGACATACTGGCGAAATGCACGAGATCGCATTTTGGACCAGATAGCTGTTTGGTGGCTCCCTGAGGACATCCCACATCATATCAATGGTCACACTCTCATTGAACCATCAGCAACCTATGGTGCCATTTTGCCTCAGGTGAGTCAGGTCAAGATTTGATGTTTTCTAATGCACTTCTAGTTAAGTGAATTCTTATATTGGTCAAATCTTAATAATTTATGGGACCAGTGATGTTTAACAATCATTCAAGTTATTGAAACTCTGACTGAATGACCACTCTTTCCCACTTTTACCCTGCTGAAGAAAGAGCTTTCCAATATATTGCTGTAAGCATTAATTTTATTTGTTCATTTTTTATATGCTTAAAAATCCATCCAACTCTATTCTCAAAATAATCATTGAATGGCTTATTTTGCTTTTCTCTCATGCAACAAATGTTTTAGGAATATTTTCCAAAATGACAGCTGTGGGCTGTATTGCTCCTCCATATCCCTTTTACTAAGGCAACACAATTTTGAAGTTTCAATTGCTCCACTATTTTCATTCTTATTTGCTTGCTTATCAGAGCTGATGTGAGACAAATTCTTGTTGGCAATGTGTAAGGATGTATGTGACTGAAGAGGGAAATATGAAGGTAGAATAGAATGATCAGTACTGTCACCAAATAAACTAGATGGGCAAGCCCAGTCCAGTAGTGGGCCTTCTTTCATTTAAGGAGACCCACATTTTTTCACCTAATTGAACAAAGTACCATCTCTCTCTGGTCCCCAGCTGTCAAAAACATCATTTTTCAGTTACGGTTGAAAATCTACACATGGTGATGAAATGAAGATGAGAGGATGGAAGGTTGTGTGTGCTTAGAAGCATCCACCACAAAGGTTGGTTGGGAACTGAGAGCTCTAGGTAAGCCCAGGCACTTTGGTAATATTTTTTCATTTCCCTAGGATGAATTGGAGGGGTAAGATGTGAGAAAGTGACTGGAAATGCTTTCATTCTTGTAGCTCTCCTTTGAGAGGAGTAAAGAATCACCAAAATTTTTTTGCTTTATTGGCTTTTGTACTCTCAAATTCTTGCAAGTCCACTTTAACCCTTTCTCTGGTGTTGGCGTAGTTTACATCGACATCCTCAAAGTGTTTGGATATCTCAGCCAGGGAAAGGGTAAACTGGGTGGGGAAGAACCCAGGGGATCATTGAGTGTAAATATTTGGATTTTTGGAATGAAGGAATTTGGATTTAAGTGTGAGTTTTCATACTAGGTGTATGAAGTTCTTGCCAGGTCTATGAACTTTTTCCATATGCAAGAGAATGCTGAATAAGTTATTCTTGGACAAATGAGAGTTGACTGTGGTAATATTGGGATATTATATAGAGGGTATGTCAAAGAAAACAACAAATGACTTATAATGCTTGTATCTACTCTCCCACTATTTATACAGATTTCCCTTGTACATGGATTTGTTACCATTTGTTTCTCTTCATATCTTTGAAAGTTCATCCAAGTTTTTCAGTTGCAATGTTATTAGCAGTTATAGAAAGTAAATTGTATATTATTAAAAATGAAGATAAGCATGTTATGGTAGTGAAGTAGAGGAAATGTCTTTGCACGGTGCATATTAAATAGGCCACATAAGATTTTAGTTTCCATTGAACTTTATTCTTTGGTCTGGCCTTTTCTTGCAGGTGGGTTTGATGAGTTCATTACCAATAAGTCACTTGCATGAATGCATTGAAATTGCTCTAAGTTTACTTTAGTTTTCCCTTAGTTTAGATCAAGAATGAGGTGAGCAGTATCACTCTGATGGGCCTTCATTCCTTTGTCCATATTCAATTTCTTATTTATTCAGAGCAGGGATGTGCAACCTTTTTCGGCAGTTGGCCGCATGGAAATGTCTGAGCTTCATGTGGGCCATAGAATGCAAAATCAAAAGCTTCCCTCTTTTGCCTTGAGAATGCAGTCTTTGGACAGGTAGTTTTATCTAAGATGATGAGTAGTAGAAGAACTTGAGCTTGACTCAGGAATCAAAATTGGCACCAATTTCTCTCAATGTCCCAGTGCAAACCTTTATACAGTAAAACATGTGATGATATAACCACTACCAGATGCCTTAATGCTCCATCTGCTTTGTGTGAAATCTTGTTCCAATTTGGACTGGAAAACTTGACTACATCTAAGATCATTTGTTTTTAAGCAGAGACCATTAAATGCAAGGAGACCAGATTGACTCATTGTGGTGAATTCAAACCAAGAAAAATGGTTTACATCACTCCTCACAGGTGGCAGTGTGTGGGACAGTGACACGAAGGGCAGTGGAGGCTACCTGGTTGACAGCATCTAATGCAAGCTCCCTACGCCTTGGCTCTGAGCTGAAAGCCATGATTCAGGCTCCACCTGGCTTCCACTTTGTTGGGGCTGATGTTGATGCCCAGGTCAGGCAGATACTTACTTATGTTCCCCTGCTTGCTAAAGTGCTATGAAATTTTTGCTGCATATACTTACTTTTTCAATATTTACTGCAAAGAGTTTTCAATTGATTTGTTAATATTTATAACGTTTTCAAATATTGAAAATTCTGGTGAACACCTGTTTAGAGTTTGAATGTTCATATAATTTTTTTTAAGTATTGATAGATTTGGATCCTCTGTAATCAGGAATTGTGGATAGCTGCTCTTATTGGAGATGCCCATCAAGGAAGGATGCATGGCTGCACACCCTTTGGATGGATGACGCTTCAGGTTTGTGGGATGATTTATAGCAGTCGGTTGTCTGAAAATTAACTCAGGGATTTAAATTGTGATTGTAATTCATTGTGTTCTAACGGCCTCAAGGACAGGAACACCAATGCAAGGTTTCTTTGGTTTAAGTAAAGTTCAAAATGTGTTTATTTACTGGATCTTGCATGTTCAAACCTGCTAATTGATCTTTGGTGGCAGTAAGGATATTGCTTGATTTCTTGAGAATGTCTAGTTCACTTTTTTGTAAATTTTATTTTTAGGGGTCATTCGGCATTGGATATTTGAGCTATAAGCACATATATTCACCCCTAAAACTGGACATTTAGCAGTTATGTTTTTAAGTAATGTTTCATATTACATGTATGAGAAGTCACCATGAAACCCCTCCTGTCTGTCCCTTCATGAAAAATACAAATCAGGTTGCTAATCTCAGGCTTTAGATTTTTTATCATCCACCTTGAAAATGTGCAGGGAAAGAAAAGCACTGGAACAGACCTGCACAGTCAGACAGCACTGGCCATTGACATCTCTCGGGACCAGGCCAAGGTCCTGAATTATGCAAGGATCTATGGAGCTGGGATGTCTTTTGCCCAACAGCTTCTCAGGCAGTTCAACCATCGCCTCACACCTGATGATGCCCGTGCCAAGGCCACCACTATCTACACCAAAACCAAGGTCCTCCACTTACCCTGATTGTGAGATTGTGATTAATTCAAAAGAACTTTCTGCTGTTGGTGTTGTTGGAGCACCAGCATTCTAATACCATGAAGCTTAGGACTCCTTTAGGGTCTAAGTGATGGAAAATTGTTTCTGATATGACCTATTTGATTCAGGCATTTATTTGTATTTTAAAGCATTAATTTATATTGAGGAGTATAAATAATCAAATGACATTTCAACATTTCCACTTTATTTTTCATTTATACAAGGTGGTCAATAAATACCTGACACTTTTCAAAGTACCATTAAATGGGCATTATGACATGAAATGAAATTATTTTCATAGCATAGTAAACTATAATCTCAAAAGTTTTACACATTGTATCCATGTCTGGTTTTTGCCTCATTCAGGTCTTGAAAACAGTGGCATGTACATGTCCACCACATGGGATGTGGTGTATTCACTGATGTGCATGGATCACTGTGTCATGCATCGCTTTTTGCCAAGTCATTTGAAATATCGGCTATTGCCAGTTCAATGTTCAATAATAGGGCTGTATATTTCTCTGATACAATGAGTATGACTGTCATAGTGATGTCTGAGTGATACCCAGCAATGATGAACAACTTCGTTGCCCCAAAACTCATAGAGATGGGATTTGATGACCAAACAGGATGGGGCAATTGCCCACATTCCCTGTGTGTCAATGGCACTGCTGAGACAGTTTTTACCAAATTATCTCATTTCATGGTTTGGAGACATTCCAAGGTCAGTCAGTAGCTCTGACTTCTTCCTATGGATGTTCTTGAAATCAAAAGTCTACAACAACAGGCTGAGGACCCTTCAAGAGTTATGCAGAAACATTGAACTGGCAATAGCCAATATTCCAATCAACTTGGCAAAAAGTGATGCAAGACACAGTGACCCATACACGTTTGTGAATGCAGGAATGCGATGGAGTTTTATGTGCCACTGTTTTCAAGATTTAAATGAGGCAAAATCAGACATGGATATTATGTGTAAAACTCCTGAGATTTTAGTCTTCTAGACTATACAGATAATTTCAATTCCTTTCATAATACCCATTTAACATTACTTTGAAATGTGTCAGGTATTTATTGGCCACCCTGTATTTTCCATTCATTTCCTTTTTCTACAACTGCCATTTTAGCTTGGATTTCACTCCACTTGAGGTAAAAGATATTTGCTTGCTGTAATTGCTTGCCTATAATAACTGAACACTTGCTTCATCTCTCTTGTCATCCTAATGAAGTTATGTTCATATTGGCTTTCAATTTGAGAACTATGAATCATTCAAAGCATTTCAGACATCAAGTCTTTGTGTATCAAGTGGCTATGAAGGTACTCAACTAGTCAGTCGCATTTGAAAATGTAACTATATCCTTCTTAAGTGGGAGTTAAATGGGAACCTTGTTCATTTAAGGGTGTGAGGAAATACAAGCTGAATGGAGAGGGGAAGAGGCTGGCAAATGAGGCAGGTTTGTCTTACTCAGATGAGCCTTGGTCCAGGTCACAGGTGAACCAGCTCCTGCGGCTTCACTCCTCAAATAAGGTATTGTCAAATTTTTGGCTCTCAAGTAGTCAAATCTGAAAAATGCAGGCAATGAATACCTTGCATCTAATTAGAATAGCATTTGTGTCAATGCAAGTCCTCTTGATGGTGTGCATGGGACTTCCTAAAATATGTTAATAAATTCAGGTCAAGTGCAAGGGGTCACTTCTTTGCATTCTACTTAGAACATGTGCATTAGTATTATTTGTTTCACTGTTCAGACTCTGCATCCATTGGATATGCTCAATTTCTTTTCTTTTCCTTGCAGTGAAATGGGCAGAGTAGCAGTTTCACTCATCTGCTATCCTTTATTTTGAGCCTATGTTCTTTGGTGCTGAGAATTTTTTTTTCCACCAAAATAAGCAATCAACCAAATGGGATTCCTAAGCTTAGGATTTATGTTGAATCTCTGGCCCTTCTCAATGGATGCCATATTCACGGTGTCTATAAAATACCTAGTAAACTAATTTTTATTTTTTTATTTTTTGCCACAATGTGTTTTAAGTCTGCTGGGTGGTCAAAAGTTGGCAGCAATGGCTAAACGAAGTAGTGGATCATTTTCATATATATTTTATTTATATATTTTAGATTTTCTCTGTTTGCAGATTCTGTTGCAGATCAGTTACAACTCTGTATATGTGTGAATGCAGAAGGCTGACATTTCAAGCAGCTGAATAATTGATGCAAAGATGCAATTATGATAAACTAGTGACTGTTAATTGGTAGTATTTGCATCTTATTACTGTATTTACTCCAGTATAGTGTGCCACCGTGTATAAGATGCACCCCTGCTTTTGAGGTCCCAATTTGTGTAAAAAAAGATTCCCCGCGTATAAGGTGCACCCCCCTATTTTGTAGCGAAAAGTGTCGGACAAGGGAGATGAATAAGTGGTAAAGCCAGTCTTGAGGTAGGTCGAACCTCGTTTCTTATTCACTGTCCTGACCTTTATCGAGGGGAGGCACAGTATCCCTAACGTTTGTTTTATTATCCATGAAAACGGATGGAAATATACGCAAAATAACACAGCTGCAGTGATTTAGGAATCCATGTGATTCAGGAAGTGAAGGAGTTGGGCATCCGTGCAATAGGTCATAAGTATGACATCGAGGAAAGTTGTATACAGAAGCAGATGGAGGCAAAATCAAAAGCAAAATTAAGCCCGGCTGTAAAGCATCTCATGGCCTTTTGTGGGAAAAAAGAATCATTTCCCGGTAATCAAGAAGGGAGTGACCGGAAGTGATGGAGACGTGAACCCATATGATTTTGAGAGCAAATGGGGTCTCCCATAGAAAATTCATTGCATCATGAGGTTGAACAACGTGATTCATAAGCAAGTTGGATTTTCTGTTCGTCAGAAAATGTCAGCAGCTTTCCATGAGAAATTATTGTCTCTGGAACGGCCCCTCGGAGGAGGATGTGAGCTCCAGGAATCAATTTTCCACACTGCCAGACATCTCAGATTCTGATTCTGATACTGAATGAAGTCCGCGAATCAACGTAGCCACTCCCTGTTTACTGTTTTATAATTATTATATTTCTCCTTTTCTGACTGACTGCAGACAGTTTCCGCCTCAAATTAGTGACCAATGAGTTATAGGTATGCTGAAAAATTTTTTTCTCGAAAAAGAGACTTTTTTTCCCTCGAGTATAAGATGCCGCACCCCCTCATCGAACACAATAAAATATGCAAAAAAATGCTCCTTATATGTGAGTAAATATGGTAACAATGCTCTCAATTATTTCACCTACTCACACACAACCCAAATATTTGTACTCCAATGTTTACTAGGTATTATCTGGACACCTGGAACATGTTGAGATGAATGACAGAAAAGTCATTAAGATTCTTTAATCCCATAAGAGCCTGGAGGAGGTGGTAGAGGAGGGCCGGGTGTGGGTCGCTGGGACTGAGAGTGCTATGTTCACTGAGCTGGAAGCCATTGCCCACAGTGATGAGCCGAGGACACCTGTTCTCAAGGCCAGGATCACCCGGGCACTTGAGCCGCTCTATGTCGACCATGATGTCAGTTCCTCTTTATCTCACCTATGTTACAGAAGATAGCATGAAATTGGAATAATAGGCCTGCCTTGACTTCAAGATTGGTAATGGTTTCCTGTATAATATAAATTTGAGAATAGAGACTTGCAGGTTTTCAGAAAATTCACCTTCTTCACCTGGAAGAAATAGTGAATTAAGAAGGATGTCAGTTTGTAGGTGCAATCAACCTATAAATGACATTCTTTTTGCTGCTTCTCATGCATAGGGTGGAAATGGCTTGAAATATTTTTGCCTGTTCCTTTTTTGCTCGGCATAGCCCTTCTGGAGCACTCTGACAGGTCACCATTTCAGCCTTCTATTTGCATCCACTCTTTTTGGCATTATATGCAAAAAATGGCTCAGGCTATCACCCATTGTCTATGCTTTATTTTTCCTGTTGTCTACTTTGGTAAGGTAGATTCTGGGAGCAAGTGAAATGAAATATTCCAAAGAGGAAAAGCATTTTGGTTGCTTCAGCCCTAAAATTACCTGGAATTGTACATGTCTGAAAGACTGAGACATGGCTTTGTGTGTTTTTTCCACATTAGTTTCTGACCAGTCGTGTGAACTGGGTGGTCCAGAGCTCAGCAGTGGATTACCTCCATCTGCTTCTTGTTGCCATGAATCATCTCTTCACTTCATATGGAATCCAAGGCCGATTTGCCATCAGCATTCATGATGAGGTTACCCCCTTTATTCTATTAATGATTCATTAGTGTTTTGCTTGTACCTTAATGTCATGAATGTCATGTTCCAGTTATTTCTCTTTGGCAGGTTAGGTATCTAGTTGCCAGTGAACACAGATACCGAGCAGCCCTTGCACTCCAGGTTGCTAATCTGTGGACTAGAGCAATGTTTGCATTCAAGTTGAACATCCCCAATCTCCCTCAGGTAATTTTTTTACTTGGATTACAGAGCTTTAGCTGACAAGGAAACCCTGGAAAAAGTATTGGAGGAATTGACAAATCCTTTGAAAATCAGGCAAGATAGTGAAATGTCATTAACTTGTAAATTAATGGGGGTGCTGTATGCTTTCATGGAGGTCATGTCTGGAAAGCATACTTTTAGTCAATAAAAAGGTATTCCTACAAGTCCTGGAAATGTCAAAGAAACTAATTCTCAAGTCTTTTGAAACCCACACATACTCATTTTCCAGTTGAAGGTGAAACAAATACTTTGAAGTATTCATTTTTGTGCATACTCCAATGTGCCTGAAGTTACCCTGGAAGATAAAAAAATGTCAGTAAGTCTTAAGAACAGAGAAGTTTTTATGGAAAACTATATTTTCTTTTCTTTGGAGATCCTTACATACTCTCAATGAACCACTCCCACCCTGCAATTTTTCTGAAGGGTAAAAGAGAAAGGAGAAAGAGTAGGTGTAGATATAATAACATTGACAATTTTTGACAATGCAGTGACATGGGAATAAAAGGAGAATAGCTGATTGAAAACCCCAAGTATTTTCATTATCCACTGACAGGTTTTGTAAAACTTTAACCCTTTCAGACCTGGCATCCATTCCAATGGACATTGCATTTACATTGTGTCTCTGGAAATTTCTTAGGATTCTCATGACTTTGTGCTCCATATTATGCTACAATGGGTGCAACTATGCATGACTCAGTTCCATCAGATGCCTTCTTTCAGCCTTCTTTCATTAGTTTTGTTATCTTCAGTTATTTAATTAAATGTATATAATATATAATACTTCGGGTGTCCGGAAAGTAATGAGAATCGTTTGTAAATTTGTAATTCTACAAGCAGTGCACTTCTCATTGCTCAGGCATTTAAATCAATATGTAATCTCTGCGATTGCCAATTTTCAATTCAATCCGTTAAGAAGTGCTTACAGAGCAGACCTCAAAAGACAGCTCTATAAGCTCAGTGCAATGTGGGTTGTTTTTAACAATTTGGATATGGCTACAAGCACTGAGAACTTTCGCTTCTACAGGTTCATGTGGTTCAAACTTGGCATTGCGGCCACTGCCTGTTACAGGGAACTAGTCCCTGTGTATGTCAAGTCTTGTGTCCTTCGGTGGTTCAGCAACTTCAGAGAAGCAGCTGAAAAGGAGGACTAGCCTTCCTTTCTCGACCAGCCCCACAGAAGCTGTCCAAGGTCCACCCAGACACCAGAGCTTGTCGAGACAGTGCGAGATCTGGTGGATGAAGACTGCCTAGTGACTACTCAAGAGCTGGATGAGGGTTCAATGTTGGCAAGAGCACTGTTCACAAGGTGCTCACACAAGACCTGCAACTGCGCAACGTGGCATCAGTCTGGGTACCGCACCAACTGACCGAGGACAACAAAGCAGCTCGCATCAACTGTGCCAAGCACATTGGGCTTTTTTTTTCTGTGAAGGTGTGGAGGCTTTCTGCAACAAGCTCAACAAGGCCTTTTGCAACAAGCTCATTCCATGTAACAGGTAGCAGCAGCAGTACTAAGGTTGAACCACATGAACGTGTAGAAGCGAAAGTTCTCAGCACTTGTAGCCATATCCAAATTGTTAAAAACAGCCTGCGTTGCACTGAGCTTGTAGAGCTGTCTTTTGAAGTCTGCATCTGTAAGCACTTCTCAATGGATTGACTTGAAAATCGGCAATCACAGATGTTACATATTGATCTAAATGTCTGAACAGTGGGAAGTGTATTGCTTGCAGAATTACAAATTTACAAACGATTATTATTACTTTCTGGACACCTGAAGTACATGGTATGATATGGTAAATTTATATAAAATATGAAAACTACATATAAAGCATGAAAATTTAAATTACAATCACAAAATAGCTCAAAAATGCTAAAAAGGATATTATTTCGATAGTGGTCTTAATTCAGGTCTGAAAGGGTTAATATTTCAGTGGTTTAAAATTTGGATTTATTGAAGTTAATACTTGGATCTTCCTTGAAACAATAATATTTGAATCACAGTATGTATAAAATTTGTTTTTAGAACCTTGCAAGATTTGAAAGGCAGTCATAACAGCCAAAGGGTTAACCTTTTAACAGCTATGATTGAGTTAACTTCTGCATGGAATTGTGTTTCTTATTGTGGCATTCCTATTGGTGCATCTTGCCTGAGATTTTTCAGGACAATATTTACCAGTCTAGTAATATACTTACATAATTACAAGGGTGAGTCAATAAGTAAAGACACAAAAGTGAATTTCATATATTTAATGGAACCTTTCAAGTACAAACTTTAGGTCATTTTTCCACATAATCCCCTTGCACACTGATACATTTGTTCCATCTTACCACAAGCTCTTTTAAGGCAGTGGATCTCAACCGGTGTGCCACAGCACACTGAACACATGGATGTTCTATGAGAGCAAAAGGGAGATTGAAAACCACTGTTTTAAGGGACTGAATAGAGGATAATTCAATGGTGCAAAGTCAGGACTGCTGGCTGGATGTGGTAGAACCTCGCAACCAAGGTTGCTGATGGTTTCCATAGTTTTTGGTCTTCTTGGGCAATGCAGAGCACTCATGCCTAGTTGCCCATTTTCCAGCCATTCCACCCACTTATCCATATTTCGGCAGTTCATGCTGTTACCTCCATACTATCTAACCATCTGCGATTGATGTCAGTGGTCCTCACACCTTCTGACCATAAAAATCTGATAACCCATTGTTCCACAACTGTACATGTCTCTAGTGGAGCTGCCATTTTTTTTACTGGACAATGGCCCTACAGGTGGCTGATTTTTTAAATCCATACGTAGGAGGTTCTAATCTTCAACACCCAACAATAACTGTACCTACACAGTTGCATTGTTAGTTGCAAATAATTATTGTATCTTTACTTATTGACTTGCCCTCGTAGTTGAATGAGGGAACATGTTATTTTCTGTGTAGGGCACAAAATGATGCACCAGAAGTGAAAAACTTAGCACAGGTTTGTGTAAAGAAAAATAATGTAGCAGAGGTTAAGGAGAAAAGTCACTAGATATGAATGGGTTAAATGCAGGATCTTTTTTACTTTGCAAGAACTCTGCAAAAAGTATGAATTTTTTTTTAATGTAGCACAAATTATGCCCTGTTTTCAGTCGGTAGGATTCTTCAGTTCAGTGGAGGTGGACCAAGTCCTAAGAAAGGACTGTCGTGATGACTGCCGGACACCATCTAACCCTCATGGCCTCCATCGAGGATTTGGGATCCCTCCTGGGGAATGGGACCTTTAGGTCCTGTAGGAAGTCTTTTGGTTGTTGCCAAGAGATTATTAAACTAAGACTTAGGGGGTGTCAGGGTCCTATAGGTACTACAGAATGTCCTTAAACTGGCACGGGGTGACTGAGAGAATCCCTGCTCTTCATGCTTCATTTTGGAAGCTGTTAATCATTCATATGAACTGGCTCATTTTGAGCCCAATAATGGGAAAATTCTGATTCTCCAGCAATCTCTCCCCTGTCTGTGATAGTCTTGTTAATTTGTGCCATATCAGAATGAAGAAATCTGGAAGAAAATGAGTTTTGGCCTTGTTTGATGAGGGATATAAGATTGACTCTTTGAGCTTTGTTGAGACATATTCATTTCCTTGTGTTGCTACGTAGGGGAAGTGAGACAATCCTCCTCCCACGTTATGTAACAACCAAGAACACCAAATTGGACTTTTAAACAAAATTATCCCAACATCCGGTCTCAAAACGTGCATGGAAAGTGGTGGCATTTTTCGTCCGAATAGTTTAGGTCCCATAGCCATCAATTTGAAAACGTAGGCTAGGGCAAGGATTTTTAGCTTTAGAGGAGTATTAATTATTTACTTCTACTGTCTATACGTTTAAAAAGAATTGAGATTATCATTCATTAACAACGCCAACAAAAGGTTCCAAGTGTTGTCTTAAAATGTATCCTGTGCCTTCGAGAAAAGCAAATTCATTATCAGGTTCTTTCATAAAGCCTCTTGGTGCCACTGAAAAACCGTAGTGCAGGCAATTGGAATGCTAACTTCAACTTCTACACCGAATCTGTTACAAAATAAAAAAAAATAATAATCCTCAGAGCTAACTGATCAGTTACGTGAAGATTCCAGGTGTGGGCCCTCAGAGCTATTCCTCTATTTTCAGGAGTACATAAAACAGCAATCCCTAGACAGAGTTTGGGGTCGAGAAAAAGAATAACTTGACTTGGGATGCTGGCAGGGATATTCCTGAATCGATAGCAGTTGAAACACAGAACAATGACTCTGGAATTGGGATAGGGACATACGATTCCTAGAGGAGACATAAATACGGGGTACGGGACATAAATCACCAGACCACGATAGAAAAAAAATGTCATTCGATAGCAGTGAACGTCTCATCATCCGTTTTGCAAGCAGATCCAATTTCTTATACCATCGATTAGCAGCAAGAAACATATTGCATTGCTTAGTTGGTGGCGAGGACGGTAAACTTCTCTGGATGCTTGGAGCAAGAGGCGATCTAACGTGAAATAACGCAAAGGAGGAAGAAGACTTCACCGTGTTTCGATGGGATCCAATTTTCTGCTAATAGTCTCTGCCATCTTCAGCCGGAGTTCTCGTAGAAATGTATTCCCTCGATCCAGTCGACTGGTTAAAAAACTCAGAAGGTACCGAAGTTCGAGAAGATCGATTCGGAGAACGATCCGTCGAGTTCGGCTGCTCTCGTAAAACCAATATCCTTATTATTATCTGATTGGAAGTTTACCGTCCTCGCCACCAACTAAGCAATGCAATATGTTTCTTGCTGCTAATCGATGGTATAAGAAGGTGGATCTGCTTGCAAAACGGATGATGAGACGTTC